GATTCAAACTCAGACATGCTTAGTGTTGTTTTAACCTTAAACAAGGTAGCATAAAAAATGGCTGTAAAGAGATCTTCAGTTCCTTTGTGAGTGTATCATACAATCATAGATTTGCCAAGGTTGGAAAAGACGTCCGAGATCATTCACCTATCACCAACATTGCCCCACTGAACCATGTCCCTTAGGACAACATCTAAACATTTCTTGAACACCTCCAAGGACGGTGACTCCATCACCTCGTGGGCAGCCCATTCCAGCACCTGACCACAAAGTGGTAGAATTCAGACCACATGTGTTAGCTTGATCTTTCCTGACAAAAGTTTTGTTGTTTTTTTCGTGCATGGTTGTTGCTCAGAAAAACATGATTGAGGACTTTCATCTCAAGGCAAGCACTTTGCCGTGCCGATAACTGCATGAATGTACTACAGGATGTAGCTTTGGGCCTGATTCAGAAAGTTGGTTGTTTTCTGCCCCCATTTTTTCATAGCAGAAAAGCTGCACACAGTCTCCATTTGGCTTAGCGGTGGTTTGAGTTCTCTGGGGTGTCATTTTTACTACTCATACACTGGAAGTACTGTAAGTGTATATACTTATATAAGTAGCTAGGTAAGCAAATGTCACTTTTGCCTTCCAAGATGTAAGAACTTCCGTAAGGAGTTAATCCTGCAGCTTTACTAATTCAACATTTACAGTTTTCAAATAGTATTGAATAGAACCAGAAATATGACTGCAGATTTGTTGTGAGAAGGAGCTTGGGATGATGATCAGTGTGGAACACTTTGCAGGACTGAAGTTAATTGATCTGAACTTAGTGACAGCATGAGGTGAGCAATCTCTACTGAGAATGCTACTCAGTTTTAAGATAATCAAAGATATGATGCATATAAAAGTTTTATTTTTTTCTAAGTTGCAGGTTTTCATTCTAAAGTCAGCGAAAAGTTCACGTAGCACATCACACTGTCTGTGATCAGCTAGGTAAGATGCATTACAAAACTCTTATTATAGTTAATTTTCAAGACATCACCATGTAAGGTAATGACTGCAGTGCTGTTCATCTCATGATAATTGAAGAGTTGGCTTCCAATGTCCAACTTTGCACAGAGAAATATGTTACCTCTTAAACTGCAGAGATAGAATGAGCAATCTTGCAGGCTCCCAAACCAAGAAAAGGATAATTTACTGAGTTTTGATATTTGCAGAGCAGTTCTAAAGATTCTGTGGATTGTGTTTGGCATTCTTCGGCATTTTGTGTTCGGTTTAATTAAAGAAATGTTACAGGGTTGGCTGTATTTAAAAATAATATCCTGTGTCACATCCGTTACATCCTGTCAGGTAAGCTGCATCACAGATGAATTTATAGCAAGAGCAACTTTCCAGAGCTGGGAAATAAAAGAATGAAAAGATTGCTAGAATTGGTTTTTGTTTACCATTAGTTTGACTTAACATAATCTATTTGTTATTCATCTCTTGCCTGACGGACTAACAAATTTGATTTCTAAGTAAAATTGACATCCACTGAGTGTTCTGTTCTCGGAAGGAGAGTGAAGAAATTGACAGCCAAGACAGCAAAGTGTTGGGATTCCTCTGCCCAGCTCTTCAGACTGAGAACCTTGGAACAACTCAGGCAGGATGACACTCAACACTGAATTAAGTTTGCTTGTTGCTTTGTCCAGTTGGATGTTGAGGACAGAGATGTCACTTCTCCCATCAGCCTGGTCCAGTGCTTGAACTTCCTAATGGTAACAGCTTATTTCCTCATAATCTTTCCCTTCAGACTACCAAGCCAATACTTACATACATGCAGCTTCTTTGGAACATTTCCAAGGTGCCCTCCTCCTAGCTGGATTTCTATTGTCAGTGAAATAAACTAAATTACTGCTAAGCTACAGCACTGGTTTGTCTTTCCTTAAGAGAAAAGGCCCCAGTGTAAGATCAACTCATCTCACATCTGTGTTGAAGCAAGATGACATTTTCTCAGTGTCGGCAGTGTCACCTTTATTGCTTTTTTTCACGCTTAATGTAATCTTATTTATGAAACATGCTAATTCTGCAAGTGATACTGAGTTTTCACTATTTTATTAATTATGTGCCAATAACTGACATCATGCTCAAAATCTTTTTTTTTTTTTTTTTCTTCCAAGTAGATCTGATCATCCTGTTTTTAAAGCAATCGCATGCATTGATGAGTCTTAGGTTTTATTTAAGAAAACTGTGATGGAGGAACTATCTTGGAGATCAGCCATTTTCATTAAATTTTTACTTATTCATGAGGAAAGAGCTGAGGTATTATCTTGGCTAAAATAAGAAAACAATATTCTGGGAAAATACAGAATTAATTATGCCTCACATGGCTTGTTTGTTGTTTTGTCTCTTATTTGTAGGGAAATAACTTTAAAGACTTCTACGAAGTGGAAGTCTTTATGAATTAAGGCTGTGATGAAAGTCTGTTCAGAGAGGCTGATTCTTGAAATTAAGTCCCTTCATGGATTCTTGTTCCAGTACAACTATCTTGCGCATTATGAGTCAGTAAGGTATGGAGAGTGTCCTGAAGATGTGCAATGCCTAAGTAGACATTAACTGATTATTGAGACTTCCCTCCACAAAGTTTAATTCCCCAGAATACAAGCAAGAATCCAGGTAGCAACTTTTTCACTGCACAGAAGAGGAAAGATAATCTGAATTGTGAGAGGCATCAGTACACATTAGCACACACTGAGCCACTTCACATTCTGGACTCTCTCGGTGCTTGGGTTCATATGTAGATGGAATGATTCCTCATAATTTTTATTAGATCTAAAGTCTTAGAAGAACCATCATGCACTTTCACTTTGGGCAGCGTGTGCATGTGCACAGCAAGGGAGTGCATTCGGTGTTGTGCCTTCTGACCTTGGCTTCTAGGAAGACAGAGAAGCCGATGGTTCCACATACTCAGCTGTTTGACTTCCTCTGCACTGGCTGTAATTAACATCTATTCAAGCAACATTAGGAAGAAAATAAATATTTCAAAGCAGCTAATTACAGCATCCAAAACATCCTCTAGGCTATTTTTTAGGATGTGCTTTGTTCCTGCAATAGTGTAACATTAATTTCATCAAGCAATTAAACAAAACAAAAGCAGACATGATACACAAAGATGCATTTTTTTTTTCCTGTTTGCAAGAATGCTCACTTGTACTTCACAGAATCATAGAATTGTTTGAATTGGAAGGGACCCTTTAGGCCATTTAATCCCACTCCTCTGCAATGAATAGGGACACCTACAGCTAGACCACGGGCTCAGAGCTCCATCCAACCTGACTTTGAATGTCACTAAGGACAGAGCATCCACCATCTCTCCGGACAGAGTTACAGTGCCTCACCACCCTCATCAAGAAAGCTTTTTCCTTATATCCAATCTAAATCTCCCCTCTTTTTCATTTGAAGCCATTTCCCCTTGTCCTATCACAAAAGACAGTTTTAATGTTTTCATGCAAATGGATTCAGCGTAATAGTTCAGTCTGCAATCTTAAAACAGATATCACATAAATTCAACCCCTATAAATGCAACCTCTGCGCTAATCTGAACTCATCTGAAAATAAGTTTAATTCAAGTGGTATCATTTTTGTGCTATACATAAAATGTTATTTGCACCAGTAGGCAGGATAAGAATGTTGATTGGTACTAAACTTTCAAATTTGTAAAATACTGGTATTTATTTTTCTGAGTAATCTTATAATGATTCGAGTTTGAAGGGACCTTTAAGATCATGTAGTTCCAATCCCTGCTATAGGCAGGGACACCTCCCTCTAGACCAGGTTACTTACAGCCCCATTCAGCATCTTTTGAACATTTTAATTAGAAGGTATTAATTAGCAAAATGCACAACAGATTAAATCCCTCCATAGGCCAAGGCTCAGGGTGCTGATTTATGTATTTGGATCAAGATAGATTAGGAAGATATATTTCAGCTCTAATGACTTCCAGTTTATGATGATTTCTTCTAAATAAATATCTTCTGTTTTTATTAACAGAAACCTGAACCACAGGCAGTTCCTTGTTTTGGATTAAATCAACTCTTTGGACCACATAGATGTAAGTACAATAATAAATACAAAATGCAGGCTTTTTTGATTTCTTTTCTGATCCAATAAATGGTTTTCTCATCAACACGGGGATTAATTCTGTCCCCACTCATATCAAGGAAAGCTTTGCTATTGAACTTGATATAGAAGGTCCTCCTATGACAGAGACACAGGGCAGGCGGCACCAACCCAACACCCTGCTGCACTGCTTGTGTGCTGGTGGCACTGCCTTGGGTTTTGAATCCTCAGATGGGCTGTACCACTGTACTGCTGAGTTTTGCTACCTGGTGTGGCATTTCATGTGTGTGTGCCTTCTCTGCTGTCCTAGGGTTCACCCAGTGTCACGATAGGAAGCTGGTTTCCATTACAATTGCCAAATTTGGGCTGTGCAGAGCTTCCCCTGCCATCATGCCTGGGATTAAATGCAACTGCACTGCTCTTTCCAGCAAATCTTCTTTCCCTATTGGAAAGAATCACAATTCTGCCCTGGAACACACGTAGATGGGGAAGCAGAGTCAGACATAGGCACATCTGGTGGCTTCTTTACCACCTGGCTTCATCCTCCTCTGGATCAGAGTTGCCCGCACCTCTCCAGCTGCCAGTTGGGTTCCAGTTATAGCATCGGGCAGTGCCCGAAGCCAGGCAGCCGGCCACTTTGCACTGGTCGTGAGCCCACTACCATAGCTGTGGATGTCAACACGCGTTTTTTTTTTTTCCCCGAGGAAGGAGGTGAAGAAGTAAGGGCCGTCTGGCCGCTGTCCCGAGCCCGAGTGGGGCCACGCAGGGCCGGGAGCGGGGCTGAGTCACCGGCGATGCAGAGGGGGTCTGCCCCGGGCGGGGGGAGGCCGGCGGGGCGGGCGGGGCGGCTGACGTGCGCTCCGTGAGTCAGGGTGATGCTTGTCCACGTGTCAGAGCGATTTAAAAAGTTTGGGCAGGGAGCGGGGGCACGGACAGCCGCGGGCAGGCAGAGCAGGGCACCGCGGGCATGGCGCAGCTCTGCCAGCAGCAGCTCCCTGCGGCCATTCCCCCGCGCGGACCGGGCAGCGGTGGGGGGCTGCCGGGGTCCCCGCTTCTCTTGCTTCTCTTCCTCCTCGCCTCCTCCGTGCGTGTCTGCAAAGGTGAGGAGCATCTCCCCGCAGCCCCATCCCTGCAAATTTGGGGGGCGGAGGGGTGACCCCGGCATCCCCGCGAGGGGACAGAGGTCCCGCGAAACCCAAAGCCTCGCAGCGCTCCGTCGGGCTGCTGAGCGGGGTGGCATTCGCGCGGGGGATGCGGAGGTGCCGAGGCCAGGGCCAGGAGGGGGCTGGTCCCAGGACAGGGGGTGGGGTGCGGACTGGGGCCCCTCCACCTGCCCTGGGGATAACTCCGTCCCGGCCAAACTGCGCTCCGGTAAAGGGGGGGAAAGACTATTGGTCAAACTGATGTCATCGTAGAGTTTAGTGGGGAAGGATGAAGCTAATCAGCAACTTAAACATGGTTATCTTTGATCTCATTGGGAGTGCTGTGTTACACCTGGAAGCCGCTAGTTCTATACGAGGGAGCACTCTGTGAAGCGAGAGCAGCTGATGGGCAATGTAACAGAACACACTGCCTTGCCTATCGCTTTGCCTGTGCTGCTGTCCCACTCTGTGTGCACGGAATGCTTACACCTTGTGAAGCACTTTACATCATCTGCCGCTGTGCACTGAGCAGTTCTGTTTGCATGTACTGTGGATGAGCGAGTCGCTTTCAGTTACTTTTTTGTTCTGAGTATTTTTAACACACTGCATACTGCGTTAGAAATGAATTCTGGAGATAGGAGAGGGAGGAGGGAGAAATGAGGAGGGTGAGGAATGGCAGCAGCATGCCACGTTGTTCTGCTAGAAATGACTGGACCTGGCACCCTGCTGCCCTGCAAGAAGTTGAGGTTTTTAGCAGCTGGCAGAATTGAACAAATGGTCAGCATCAATCTTGTAGGAGTTCCTTCTATGTTCTTTTTGGTTAGGATTGCTTTCCCAAAGAGCACTCTTCTCCCACCATGGCTACATTGCCTATCTTACCAGAAAACCTGTACACGCCATTGTGCAAATTACTGAAGCCCGTGTAGATTCAACAGCATTCTGGATGGAGAGAGGGAGGGATGCTGCCTAGCACTGCTGGGAGCTCACAAAGAGGGACTGCACCTGCCCTCAGAGTTCTGTGAGTGAGCTGAGAAGGGTTAAGGAAATCTATGAGGTGGTGAAATAATTCTCTGTTCAAAAGTTTTGTTTCACAAAAAAATCTACTGTGTAATATTCAGGCTTCTCTGCCTGCTGCTCCACAGGCTGTTGGATTCCCCCTGGAAAGCCTGGGGAACCAGAGGCTGTGGGCAGTGACAGACAGGCAAAGGTACAGCACTGAGCGTCGTCATGGTGCACTCTTGCCTACCAAGGCACCAGTCCCAGGCGACACTCCAACCTGAACACTCTGAATTAAGAACAGAAAACAACAACAAGGTAAATTAAAGGTAGCACCTTTATTTGGAGTTGTTCCTTGAACTAAAGTACACATCAAAAAAGCATGGTTTTCATTGAAAGGCAGTTTTACTGCCATGTAAACCTGGCAGAGTTTTCAGAAATAAGCAATTTCTACACAGTATGAAGTTAAAACCCCCCTCTATCACTATCCATGCTGGTTACACATCTCAAGCCTGTGCCAATACCAAAAAGAGCTTTTGCAACTTTAATGCTTGGAAGTTATTGTTGTTGCCATTTGTGGTACTTGGAGAAGCTGGGCTCACATCCTGCTCACCTGGCCATGCTCATGAAGACTACCTTCACCTTTTATTTATTTAATTTGGTACAATTCTTTGGGGAAAGAAAAAATTGACCACAGGTAACTATGGACTTTCTGGGAGGCTGTAAAATCTCCGTTCACCAGAGATCAGTAAAAACAGAGCATGAACTGCTGGGCATGGTCACAGGCAGCAACCTTGGGCACAGGGATAAACTGGATGACTCCTGGGAAACCTCACCATGCCCAGAGCAGCAAGTTTCCTTGGGACTTGGGCACTGCTTTTCGGCTTTGCAGTAGTTGGGTACCACAGCATGTTCAGAGTGTTTTTATTTCCATCACTGCCATAGGATACTCACAAGAATGACCCCTGCTGCGCAGCATCACTAAGCAGTGTTTGTGCTTCCAGGTGTTCCGATGCCATCCCAAGTGTTGGAGGCAGAGCAGGAACTGCAGCTGTGGAAGGAGGTGAGCTCTGCGGGCAGGCTGGCTCTACCATGGCTCTAGGGTGAGGGCTGAGAGTGTCCTTGCCAGCTTACTCCTGGTAGGACAGGGATACAATTTTAACACTATTTCTAATTCCAGGCTTTTCTGTGGTCACACTTTCCCTCTTCACGCTTTCTCTTGTATGGCATTCAGATGCTTCCTCTTCCAGTCCTACTTCTCCCACATATGACATTGGTGAAGATGTGAAATACGTAATTTTCCGGATTTCTGAACATTATCCAGAGACTGGATGTTGAGATTTCATTCAGGGAACAGACTGCTTCGTCTCAGTGGGAGCTATGTTTGGTGACAGTTATCCTCTAGCTGTCATTGACCAGGAGGTTGCTGTTCCTGGAAGCAGTACAGTGTTCCAGTTGATACTTTTATAGTTTGTGTATGATAGACACTAATTGTTTCAACTCATTCAATCAGTCTCTGGCTTCTTCCATTCTGCAGACAGGGCTGGAACACAGTATTCAATCACATTTTAGCATTTTAATTCACTAGGTAGAGGGTGACATCCCATTGCAGTTTGGCTTTCTAACATTTTTTACCAATTGCAGCTATAACTTTAATTCTCATCTCTGAAATTTACTCCAGGATGTTACTTGTTGGCATGAACTCTTTTGTGCCCTTTTGGAGCAGATGGAGAAGCAGAGCATAACACAGAGAGAGGGTTCAGCTTGCAAGTTGTGTTCCCTGCCATTGCTGTAATTTTTCAAGTACTCTGTTGATATTTAATTTTGTAGCTTCTGATAACATTAGAAAGCAAGTGACTCACCCTGGGTACAGCTGCACAGTGTAAATTTCTTCCTTACTGTCAGCGCATTTTGGAAGCATTGACTCAACCACTGTCATGTTCCTAGCACAGCACTTGAACAAGCCCTGGTGGTACTTTGCTCCTGGGAGAAAAGTGATCTCTTGGGAATCCTAACGGCTACAAGGAGTTTGTGAAAATGAGTTATTTAAATTCCAGACTGAAAACCTGCTGTTTTATGTGTTTCTGCATTTATTGTTGGGATTTGTTATTTATAGCATTGGATTAAGGTCAGTGATTACAGAAGGGAAAGGCAAGGTTACTGTTGATTTCAGTTAACAAAATATATGTGTATGGACACTAAACTCTGTGTAAAATTATTTAACATGAGTGGTGTAAAACACTGCTTAACAAGAATAATACAGGACCAGGAGAGCCTTAAGGTCTAAGTAAAGAGAGTTAGATCCATAGGTACCTACTTCTGCTCAGCCTGGCAACAAATCCATACTGGGGTTCCTTGGAGTTTTCTTCCCTGCTTGTTATTTGAGTAGTTGATCATTCAGCAGAAGCTCTGCCTCAAAATCAAACTACTATTTTCCAGGAATGATTCTGAGCGCATAAATAGTGGAACTTTCTAACATCCTTCAATTTCTTTGTTATTTAACCAGCACCAAATAACACACACGCTTCCAACCTCAGGCCACATTTCTGAGGAAAGAGAAAAAATTACTGAGAAGATGCATCAAAGGCAATAGGAATTATTAAATTCATATATGCATTTTTAAAAATAAATCAGCACGAACTGTGGCTTTTCTCTAGCTCTTGTTTTTCCCATGCAGGTTTTAGCTGAGAGATATACTGCCTTGTATTTATTGAATACAAAGAAGTCTCTGGATTATCCTGCTGTTGAATTATGGTGATCACTAATAGTTCCCAATAATAGTTCTCTAGTAATAGTTCGCTAATAGTTCTCCAACTAAAAATCAAGTAGATAAACCAACAAATAAATAACAACAAAGAATCCCTCATTGAGAAGAAAAAGCAGCTTTTTATCTTAGGCTTCCAAAATGAATTCAGTTTGGTTTATGTCCTTCACCGCAGATTTCTCCCTTTACATTTTTTTTTTCTCTGAACTAAAATACTAGAGACAAACAAATGCAAGATGAAGGAAAAAGAGACAAGGGAGGTTGTGTTACAAACAAAAACTACTTGAGGGGGGAATCCTGTGAGCTATTAGCTTTCCACTCTATCTGAAATGCTTTTTCATAGCCTGTCTCTAGAGAAATGCATCATCTCTTGTCTTGAAGTACTGATATGCATTATTTGTTTATTGCTTTTTTCATTGAGTGTTTTCTTCACTAAAGAGTGCTCTTTAGGGCTTTTACATACAATAAAATCACAAGACCCATTGCATTGCCCGCTTTATTAAATAACAAAACATTTTGATGCAGTCTGTGAACAAGACAATGGTGGCACCTCTTCTAACAATAATGAACGTTCAAAGGAAAAAAACTAGTGCATATCAGATGGGTCACAAAAGATACAATTTAAAACTTACATAATGAAAAGTTAAGCTTTCCTTCCCCCCTCCTCCACCCCCCGTTATTTTTAAGCTGTGCAGATTCAGTTTGAGCTCTGGAGACATTTTCTCTTCCTTACAGAATACATTTAGCTCTCAGCTGGGGTAAAATTTCTTCCATGATTTCAAGTGTCCTTTATTCCACTTCTTCTCCTTCCCTGATTAAAAGCTCCACTGAAAATAGTTTAGTACAGTGGGATGCTTTCATTTGAAAAAAAGAATATAGAAAGAATATAGAAAGAAAAGCAGGTAGAGGATGAGTGGGAATCACTTCTTTGTTACTTCTTCCAAGGAAAGATTGTGATAGTGCTAAATGAAGTGAGCTTTGGAAGGATTGACCAAGACAAACGGAAATGGTATTTTGTGGAGTGTTTAGAAGAGCCTTACCATAAGGTGTTGTAGACGCTGAAAGTTTACAGTGGTTCAGAGAGAGATTGGTCAAATTCACAGAACAGAAATCCTCTGAGCTTCCTTACAAATTGCCTACATCCAACTCTATGTACTTGCAATACATTGTGCTGTTGGATGGGGAGTATGGCTTCCACTAAACCACAGGTCTCTTCTTAGGCTCTTCCTCAGGTGCTGAGGTTTGGCCTTTTGGTGGAATAAGACAAAGAGCTAAACAGCCAGGGGGGTTTTGGTATGGTTTTAAACAAAATCTTGTAAGGCTCCCCATGTGCCAAAGAAATCGTTGCGAACCTCAGACATAAACTGCTTGGTGACTCACACAAATTGAGTAGCATGCGTAAGAGGTGCTGGCACATATCATCATCACTCAAGAGATGTGTGGGTCATACACCTGAAGGGATGTCGGAATGCAATTTGCAGAGGAGTGTTTGAGGACTGAGCATTGAATCACTTGCAGTAGCCTTGTCATTTTCTTTGCCATTTTGTATAATCCAAAGATATCACAGAAGGTTTTGAATTTTATAGTCCATGCCCCAGATACTCACAACATGTCTTAGCTGGAGACATTTAGATTTAGTAGGGACACAAGTGGTGTAAGAGAATACAAGACGTGATAGCTGAGATCAAGCACATATATATGTGTTAATTTGGTGGTTTGCTTTTTTTTCCCCTTGAATTCAAAATATTTCATGAACATATATATAAGTATTACTTCTGGAATTTGATGCAGGGCAACCTTGCCATGCCTTTGGCTGAACAAAATACTTCTAAGAATATAGTTATTTAACTTGTTTACATTAATTTGACTTAATGAAAAAGGACTGTGTGAACTTTTACAGATAGACGATGCCTGTTCTACCTACATGTCCACAGAATCTCAGCCTCAGGTGAGACAAAGAAGGGTTGCTTTACTAATTATGATATTTATTTTACAATAAGAATGAAAGTGTGATACCTGAGTTCATGTTTTCCTTTCATTAGATGTCCAGTACACTGGAAGAACTTTGTTTTTTGGTCATGGGATTTCTCCAGAAGCCACAGGTAACACGCACAAAAGACTACTTGGCATTTCTGAAGCAAGATCTCTCAGTGCACCAGTACCTACAGTGGATTTTGAGGATCCAGTAAATCACATGCCACTCAGTGCTGAAAGTAGCATGCCAGTTTTTACTCTGAAATGTCCTAATATAGTGCCTATTAAGGAAAACTGGGAGACTCCCCCATTTGTAAAATGATCTCCAGCTTGGATACAAGGTTTCAGCTGGTTTTATTGCTTTAGATTAGAAAATTTATGAGCTCTGAATGGGGTAAGAAATTTACTGATGAGAGACTGCTGCTGTCACTGCCAGGAAGACAACAAGGAGCACCCACAAAACCCATCAATTCTTCTAATTGAGAGTTATCGTTTCAGAAGAGTGATTGCATTGATAAGGAAAGTCATACAGTAAATCTGTCAAGGAATAATGATGATATTTCAATCCAGTACTGAAAAGTTTGAAACATCATTTCAGCTTAGAGTAGACTGAGGAGTGGGCTCATGGCAGCCCACAGCTCCTCACAAGGGGAGCGGAGGGGCAACACTGATCTCTTTGACAACAACTGGACCCAAAGGAACAGGCTGGGAATGGGATGGAGCTGAGTCGGGGTATGGTCAAGTTGGATGCTAGGAAAAGGTTCTCCACCAGAGGACAGTGGGCATGGCACAGGCTCTTCAGGGCAGTGATAACAGCCCTGAGCTGCTGGAGTTCCAGGTACATTTGGACAGTGTTCTCAGACAGAGTTTGAATTTTGTGTGGTTCTGTATGGAGCCATGGTTTGGACTCGGTGATGCTTGCAGGTTCCTTCCAACTTGCAGTATCCTGTGATTCTATGAAATAAAATCATCAACAACTTCTTTTTTAACAAATAAAAATCTCTCTACTGATTATTATTCCCACAGGATTTAGATGAAAAAGACAACATGAAAAGGGTAAGATTTCTATGTATGCCTTATGATCACTCTAAAATTAATAAGAAAATCCTAACTCTTTTGTCCTATTTTGTAGTAAAACCTCACTTTTAATTTTTTTGAACAGTTCTTATTTCATTATTCTAAGACTCATGACTCAGGAAACTCAGATGTCAGGGTAAGTGGCCTAGCACCTCCATGTGAGTACACGTGTACCTTTCAGTAGCATCAAGGCGATGTTCCTTTCCTCAGTAGTTTCTGCAGCTGTAATGGCTCAGATAGGAGGGTTTCAAATTTTATACACAGGCTGTATTTTAATAACATGGGAGACAATCACTGATGATGTGCAGGTGTGCAAATGGAAAACAACACATATCTTAGTCTTGTAGAATCAACATTTAAGAATAAGATAAAACACTTGCTTCTGGTAATGGAACATAATAGCCAATGAAACAATCCTGATTCATAGAAGTTGAGAACATGATCATCAATTTTAAGAAGCATTTTTATTAATTAAATGGTTTATTAATTATTAATTAAATGGTATGTATCTATTAGTGCATATCACAAATATCTATCAGGCGAAAGAGTACGCAAGTCTCATTCACATTTTGGAGTACACTATGAGAAACATCATCATTTAAAAATAGTCTAGTATTTCTGCTATAAAAATATTCTCAGCAGCCAGCAAATAAATCACGTGATCCACTCTTGCTTTTAAATTTCAGTCATCATCTGTTGTTTCAGCACATTTATTTGTTTTTTTATGTACGCTGTAGGATTTTGAGAAAGTTAAACATACATGTGTTTGCTCATTTCTTAACGATCATTTTTACGTGTTGATGTCCATCGTTGCCTTGTTCATTACATTCCTTCAGAAATAGGCTATATATTCCTTGGAAAGTGAAAATTTTCTAAGACTCCTGAGAGTACTGCTGATGTTGCGGTCAATATTTTCACAGCAGAGCTTCTCTGGAGCTTTTAATGGTAATCAGGGCACTTGGAAATTAGCTATTTCTATTCCTACTCCTGCTTAAAAGGTTACTGCATTCCCCTTCCTCTCCATCCTGAATCTCTCTCCACAAGCCCGGATGATTCTGTGCTACCAGTTACTGCCTTAGGGGACTTAGGCTGCACACATTGCCACTGTGCTTCCCAGGCTCTTTGTGAGCATACAGCATCTCATCAAGGACCAGGGATTTCAGGATTGGAGCTTATCTGTTATGGAGAATGACCAGTGTCACAGTCACAAATTTTACTTCAGAATGGATCCCTCCTGCAAACTATTTTCTAGTAAAAAATCGTTTTTCTTTCTGTGAAATAAGTTAAAGTAAAATGAATTTTCAGTACAACAGAGAGTGAAGATGTTAACCTCTGCAGCAGTTAACCATAAGAAATTAGGGATAGTGTATGTGAATGTTCTCTGTACCACACAAAGAGGCTGATCAAGGCCTGAATAACTGCAGTTACTTGGGGAGGTCTGTAAAAAGTTCTGATCTCCAGGGAATAAAGGTGAGGATTCATAGCTTGTCCTTCCACCTCCTTGCAAACCACATTCCATGCAAATATAAATGTATGTTCCTGTTTGTTGTCAACTCAGAGTGTTCAAAATCACGTTTCTCAAATAACATCTTCAGTCCTTGGTACCCACTGGTCCGTAAGCCACAACTGCAGGAAGAGATATTACTTTTGCATCATAAAATCAGGATTTCATTGTTGCTCATGTGTCTGTGTTCATGTCCTCTCAGTCGTCTGTCCTGCATCCTTTGCTGCAACTCGTTCCCCAGCTTAATGAGAGAAGACTGAAGAGATACAAAGTGGACGTATGTAATCTTAAACTGTGCATGCTTGCATTCTCATATTAGGCAAATCATTATCACACCTAAAATGTCCTTGTAGACCCTCCCTCCTATTCAAAGCATTTTTATTTTCAGTGTTTAGTGTCATGCTGATGTGTTTTCGTTAGAAATGTGCATTTTTTTCTGCTTTTTAATTAGTGAAAAATGATCCTGGTGATACTTAACAATTTAAACATGAAGTAATAAATGCTTAGCATAGAATATTGGTTCAACACTGAGCCTACATTCAAACTGGACTGAGTAGTTGCTTTATAAAAAGAAAAATACTTTCAGATTATCCATACATTATATTGCAGTTGAATTGTACTTTGTAGAAAGGGCTCTTCTTTTTCCCTCCCCATTTGGAATTCAAACCATATTCACTCCTTAAACATATGTTATTTATGACATACAGAGCTAAGGATTTCCAAACAAGTACAAGCAATATTACTGTTCAAGTTAAGGTGCAGATAAGAAAGTCCTTTCTTTGTTTCAGTTTCTGCCCAGCATCTTAGTTTCCTGAACAATAGGCTACAGAAATGGGTCTTTTGAGAAGAAAATGACTTCTTTTTCTATGGTGCTTTTATTTTTCTTTCATTCCCATATCCTTTAGTGGATGTTGAAGTGCTATTGAATTAATTTACGGCCTGATCTAGCATCAGCAGATCCTTAAGAAAAGGAATACATCTTCTCCCTTCAAGTAGCGTATACTGAAAAACTTTTGATAAAATAGGTGGTAATCAGAGGGACACAAAATTTGGAATATTTCTTATTTTGGAGTTTGCAGTTTGAAAATAAAGAGTGAGAAGTCACTGGCTGTTTTGCAGATGGAAAAGCAAAAGTTTGCTTTGAATTTAAGGTATTTTTCTATTACCAGCAAGTACAAAATCAGGTTCCTATTTTAAAAGGTGCAAAATAACTTCATGCTCCCATGAAGTCAGCTAAGCAGTTCAATAAAGTTTAACCCTTCCATGCTTACACATTATTGAAATCTGGAGGCACTGTAAAACTAGTTTTCCATAGAAAAACAGCTTATTTGGGAGCAAAATTATAATATATATATATATATATTATATTATATATATATAATTATATATATATATAATATATAATTAATATATTATATATAATATTATATATTATATATTATATATTATATATTATATATTATATATTATATATTATATATTATATATTATATATTATATATTATATATTATATATTATATATTATATATTATATATTATATATTATATATTATATATAATTGTAGGTATAGGAGGTTTTCTTTTTTTGAAGAACCATTCAGAAAATCATGTAGCCTGTGGCAGTGTTTTGTTTTTGTTTTTGTTTTTGTTTTTTTTAAACAATTGCTTGGATGATTTGTTAAGACAGAAGCTTAAGAGCATACCTCTTCCAACTATTCATTGTTGTATATTGAATCACTTAGAGTATCATCTTTTTGAATCGCACATAACAAATTAGTGGGATGATTAAGGAACTATGCCAGCTGGATTCAGCAAACTCCTTAGTTTTTACAATGAGGAAAGCTTTGCACAGACATAGTACCACACCACTGTGTACATTTTATTGTCATTGTGTAAGAAGAGGAACAGATATCTATGCTTACAGAGCTTTCTTTCATTAAGAGACAGTGAGTTGTTTTGGAAATTCTTTATTACGCCTATTAAATGTTTCTGATCCACCCGAACCTGTACAGGGAGAAATAGTCCTGTCTAATATTGCTCAGATCTTCTGGGTCCTTCCATTTCCTAGTCTGTGACTTGTGGAGACTGCTAATCTGGTTGTCACAGAAACTTCATTAATCATCAATATATTTTTTCGTTTTCCATAATCTAACATGGGGACAAAGAGAAAGCAATTATTTTCTAAGAAAAAATAACACAGGTAGAAAAACAAATACGTAAAATGTAAGGCACTCCAAGTATCTGAAATGATTAAAGCAAACAAACAAACAAACAAAAACTTGCAGAACTCCATTACAGATGCCTTTTTATTAAAAAAAATAAAGCTGATAATATTTAAGGGTTTATAGATCTGAGATAGGTATCTCAAAACTACGTAATGAGAGAAGGAAGTTGACGATATAAATAAAAATCACACAGGTGTTATATGTACAGCTAAGAAACTGAGCATAATGACACATCTGATGAACTGATGTCAAAATTAACATTGAGACTCAAAAATGATGTACAGTTTAAACCTACTTCCTTTGAAAGTTTCCTTGAAGCTATTCCCGTGTTTGTAAGTGATGGGAGCCATGCTGCTTCACACAATTCTTACAGTGTTAGGATAGAGCAAGCAGCAATTTCTCTCTATGATTACTCTGGCTGTGATCATAACCCAGGAGATTACACAAGCTCAGTTTTTAATTGAGAAACACTATCATCACTAAGAGAGCATACAGTAAATACATTCCATCTAAATCCTATGTGCTGCTAAGCTCAAGATCTGAAATATTTCATTTCTGAGTTGGTCTGTCCCTCCCTCTGCAAGACAGACAGATAATGAAAATACTGTGATTAAGCTTAGTATGTTTTCTAATGAATGTCTCATTAAAGCAGATGGATACTTAATTCTCTGTTCTCACTATTTTCTTTACTGATGTTTTCTTTGCTCCTTGCTGTACAGATTAGTAGCAGTTGTTTCTCAATGTGTACAACATGAATAGGATAGAGTATGATAAGTATTAGTCTTTTCTTTGGGAATTATTCTGAGAGGGGTTGTCAGAATGTACCTCTGGGATCAGTCTGGGACCTCAGTCCCTGGCTGGGCCCAAGTACGTTTTTTTAAGCTTTGAGGACTTGATGATCTTGAAGGTCTTTTCCAACCTCAGCAATTCTGTGTTTTTTTCCCCATTGTTGTCCTTCTATGAGGTACAAACTGTTTCATGCATAGAGACTCCAAGACTATGGGACCAGTTGTGTTTTTGTGATGAAACCTGTCAAAAACAAAGACTAATTCTAAAACAATCTAAAATGAGTCAAAACTTAGAGTGGATTTTGGCCTTCATTCATGTGTTTTCTACAATTAGCACGTGAGAGCATGAGCTGCATACAGAAATATGTACACAGTATGTTTTAAGGGGCAAGACTGTATAGTAGTACTGAAGAAATGTCTATTATAAGTACATAAACAATATCTTTGAGGGGATTCATTCACAAGAGTAGGTATCATCTAAAATACTATTTTTTTTTCAAGGAGGATCTTCAAGGAGCTGGAGGGATTCAAAGCAGAGGATACTTTTTCTTCAGGGTATGGTTGTTCTACTATTTTTTCCTTTATTTTTACTCTCTAGGCTGTTTACCAAACAAAAGGTAGAGAAATTAGTGGAATAAAATGAAAACTACTGTGTCAGAGAAAACTTGTCTCTTAAGAGTCTTCTGCCATAAGCGATTCCATTAGAAATGTTCGTCTTTGCAGTAGATGAGAAATGCAACTTCCAGTGACTTCAGTTACTTACAGCACAGACTATATGCTTGTAAAGTAATCAGGATAACAGAACCAGATTGAAACTTCTTGGCGATACTTCTAGTAAGTTAAGATATGTCAAAATAAGAATTTCTCAAGTCTTTAGATTATTTTTTTTAGGAGTGTAAAACCACTGTGATGGAGACTTACAGATGTCTCTGGCTACATAGGGCTTGAAACAAGGTTAGTGGTGTCAGGATGTGTGGGACTTTGTTACTGAAACCAATCAGTTTTCTACGGTGTTTATTGGATGTTTGTCTTTCAGCCGCGTAATGGGAAGAGATCAGTGGATTTTCACTAAGGAGGTATTTATTTAACGATTTCATCATCACCTGTATTGAAATTACTTTATTTTTATACAAATATGCCACGGTATTTACGATTAGAGTTCTGCAGACAGTCTTCTTTGAGATATGCTAAATCCACATATCTTTGTTTAAAGTGAGTAGAAGCTATGGATACTCAGTTCCTAGAAGAGAGAGCAAAGTGTTTCTGGAAGCAAGAAATGGAAAAGATCCCAGATCTGTAGACAGTTTAAAAAGTTATCAATGACAAATAAAAAGTGTGTGTGTCAAGAAGTACCAACTCAACAACCTGCCACAGTGTGGGCATAATCCTGCTGCTCTTATTCTGAACTAAGATCTATCTTTACATTGAAATTAAGTGTAGACTTCAGATTTTAGTTTAAAATCATTCAATTCCTTGGACAGAAAAAAAATAAAAATAAAAAAATCCCGCCCGTGCTAATGTTATGATGCTCTGTTTCCTAACGTATCTTACACTTCTGACATATTTTGCTCTATACCATATCTGTAGCTAAAACTTTTTCTTATTTTTCAGGATTTCAGATTCCTGAAGTAGAACTTACACTACAGGAATGCTGAGTATGGACATAGGGTTATCCTCACAGAGATAATTCCTTATTAATGTACAATTAAAAATCACTAGAATGTAAATGCTCTTACATAAGATTCACTGAAGAATTCAAATGTTTCTTTAATTCCTTGATTATATTAAAAGCATATTAAAATTATTTGTTTCCTACTGTTATGATGTTTATAACTGTGTCTAATGGAACCATAAAAAAGCCTCAGTGTATGCATGCAAGAGATACTGTCCCCAACAACACTGCAATGTACATTTATTTGCCTGAACAAATAAAGGCACTGAGAGAGTTGTTTTAATGCGAATGTTTGCAACGTAGAGTATCATATTTTTTTTTCTGAATATTCTTCAAATTTCTCATGTAGTCTTTATAATGGCAGCTTGCTTTATTTTGTATTTGAGACGGCATTTTTTTTTATAATGATGCAAATTTATGTAGTGTTACATTTGCAAATTATTATTTTGTTCTCATATTTACTGAAAATGCACATTCTTTCATTACCTTGGTATGAGGAAGCTCAATCCTACAGAAAAGACATACGCTGAAGCTAAGCTTTCAAATGCCTTTTTGGCACTAAGTCCAGTTCTTGTGATACTTTACTTCGTTCAGGGTGTCTCAGTAGTGTTTCACTGTCAGAAAAAAAGAAAGAAAGAAAAAAAAAGAAGCTCCATTAGCAATGAATTGTATGTTTTGGAGAAAATTCTTGATTTTAACTCAGCTAAAGCATTATGAAAGCTTTTGTGATGTTGTCATTTTTTTTACCTTTTAAGAGCAGTGATACAGTACGGCTCTGATTCAGAAGACTTCATTACTTACATTCTTCTAGAATTAAGGTCTATTGAGAACATAGCTGGTTTTGGTGTAGTTTTAAAGAAATTTATACAAAAGATTAAGTTAGCCTCTCCGTCTTCCAAGCTTTTCTCACCAGGGGTTGGCAGAAATATTTGAGGATATTTGAAGTAACTAATGGGGAGCTGTAAGAAAGAAGGAAATAAGAAGACTTCTTATTAGCAGCTGTTGTGACATGGCAAAGGGAAACGGTTTCAAACTAAAAGAGGGGAGATGTAGATTGCAGTTTTTTACAGTCAGGGTGGTGAGGCACTGGAACAGGTTGTCCAGAGATGCTGTGGACGCTCTGTCCTTGGAGACATCCAAAGTCAGGCCGGATGGGGCTTTGAGCAGCCTGACCGAGCTGTAGGTGTCCCTGTTCGTTACAGAAGGGGCTAAATAGCCTTTCTGGGTCCCTTCCGACTCAAACGATTGTATAAAATAGCAACAGTGCAGACGAGGGCTGCTGTTGACACCGGCTGGTCACACACAGAGTGAGCAGACCTCAGCACCCCTCCCGCTCGCCCGCTTGTGTGAGCAGCCGAAGGGCAGAGCTCAGCCTTTCCACACGCCTTCGCCTCCCCGCGCCGTTACCGGTGCACCGCGAATCTCGCTCTGCACCAGCTGCCTCCCATAGAGATACATGGAGGGGGGGCCGTTAGAAACGGGTCCTGCCCCAACCGCCGCCGTGAGGAGCCATGCAGGTGAGAGTGAGAGCGGGGGCCTGAGGGAAGGCGGGGGAGACGGGGAGCCGCCGGGCGGGCAGGGCGGGACAGAGCGGGGGAGCGCTGTGAGGCGGGCGGCCTGCGCTGTGTTCCCATGGAGGGGGGCTCTCATTGCCCAACCTGGGATCTTTTGTACCCTCACTGTGCAGCAGTCAAAACTCGTATTTGATGAAGGATTGAAAGCTTGCAGTGAGACTGTCTGTAAGGATATTTTATAGCATTGGGGAATTACACTGTAGCAAAACCTTCCTTTGGGTTTTTCTAGACCCATGATCATCTGATTCATTACTTTATACACAGAGCTTCCCTTTTCTTTCCTTTTCTTTCCTTTTCTTTCCTTTTCTTTCCTTTTCTTTCCTTTTCTTTCCTTTTCTTTCCTTTTCTTTCCTTTCCTTTTCTTTTCTTTTCTTTTCTTTTCTTTTCTTTTCTTTTCTTTTCTTTTCTTTTCTTTTCTTTTCTTTTCTTTTCTTTTCTTTTCTTTTCTTTTCTTTTTTTCTTAATGGGTTACATCCACTACTTTTCAGCTTACTTTGCTCAAAGAATGAGCAAACTGCTTGTTTTAACTTTATTCACGTATGAAAACATAAGCAAAGAATTAAGTTTGCTAGTGTACTTCTAAGACTTAGCAATAAAATCAGCTTCTCAGTGGTAGAACACCGCAGAAAATACTTCTACAAATAACATGACTGCTTATTATTTAATGGAGTTGGCGTTCCTAGTTCAGAGCATGGATGTCTGAGCGTTGCAGAAGGAATCAGTTAAAATGTTCCAGTACAAAATTCCTTTCTCTCAGCACTAAGCACTAGATGTTTGCGAGGCCAGAGTGCTGCAGCAGCAAGGAGCAGTAGCCCTGCTGAGCCCATGCAGGACTGGTGCAGGAGCTGCCATGAGCTGCTGACATCTCCTTCCCACTCCAGCCCTGCAGAGCATCGATTCCTCACCTATGCCAGAAGAAACTGGGGGAGGTAAAGGCTTTCTTGCAGACTCACTGTGCTTCCCAGTGAGATAAAGCATGATGCTCTGTACTGTCTGTATGGGAACTACTGAGTCACAGCCTGAACCTCTGATTGATCACCTGAGGCGAGCCATGAGTCAGCCAGAGGAGCACAGGTGAAGGCAATTCACCTGTGCTGCCGGAAGGAGTGGAGCCTGGCTCCACCTCTCCTAGACCTATTTAAGAGCTGGCTACTAGTGGGGAAGGATCTTGTCTGGAGATCCCCTCTTCTGGTGTTTTTTTTTCTAGGTGAGCCTAGCATACGAGTAAGCCTTCTATTTATTCTCTCTTATTATCTTAGTCTACTTTGCCTAACTCTTTTTTTCTTTTTTTGTGATTATAACATCTTAATATCCATTGATTATACACTGTCTTAGTGGCTTTCCTATTTCTTTACATCTGAGATGCAGAAGAACTTGTTTTATCATTACAAAATTCCTGGGAGCATGTGTATCTTAGCATTTGCTTTGCGGTACCATTAGAATTGTGTTCATGCTAAGCTCTGTAATTTGTTGAATAAAAACAAGGCAGCTGCTTGCTGCCTTGCTGAAAGGCAAACGTATCACTTGCAGGCATGGTAATGATATAATGCAAATCTTAGATGTTTTCTCAGGTGACCTTTTTGTAATGTAATGTTTGTTCATTTGATGCTGCATTATTATTACTAATGCCATTAAATATTTCTGTTATATAAAAATCCAGTCAGGTGTCTCTTCATGGAGGTTTTCAGACTGTATTTCAAGGCAAAAAATACCACAGAAATTAACAACCTGTTTTAAAATCTGCCTAGCATTTCCAGTCCTTGTGAAAGATGTCCTTATGTGTTGCAACACAGTTAAAATGAAGATTCTTTTAATGTGATAATTTGGGAATAAATACAGCCTTATAAATCGATGTGGTTCCTTTATCTTAATGCCTTAATTAAATTACTACAAATGTAGGCTTAATACCTACAACAGTCATACGCTATAAATAAGGTTATGTTGACATATTAACAATAATCATTCATTTAAAAAGTCCTTTTTTTCCCCTTCATTCTAGTCATGTTTTTGTATGTTTATACAAAATGTCTGTAGTTTATTCTCACTAGTAACATAAAAATACCAATACAAAAATCTAGCAGTATTTGTTTAAGTAAGCCATTGGTGGTTCTGGGTTTCTGAAGCAGGTTTCCAAGTGTCTCCTAGAAAACTTCAGCAGATGTTTTGGATACTGATTTCTTTGTCTATGCCTACATTTTGAGGGTTTTTTCTTTCCCATTTTCTTCCTGACTTCTGTTTAGAACTGAAAAATGACAAATGGAAAAGCATGGTAGACAGTGGTCCATTAAAGTATTGCAGTTACTCTAAATAATGATTTCCAGTTGTTACATCCTTAATATGTGCCCAAGTGAAAAAACAGCTGTGCTTGGTCAAAATCAATCAAAAGACTGATTTTTTTTCAATTTAGTTTTCTTCCATAATACCAAAATAGGACCCAAATGAAGATACCGAATGGAATGATGTATTAAGAAAGTTTGGAATTCTTCCTCCAAAAGAAGAGCCAAAAGATGAATCTGAAGAAATGGTTATACGCTTGCAAAAAGAAGAAGAAGGTGAGTTGAATTAAAAATACATGCTACTAGAATAACAACATTTGGAATGCAGATCTGTGTAGTGTGAGGTTCATCTCCATGGTGGGAATCTTTGCTGCTGCAAGGGCCATCCTCTGCTATCTCTTCCAATCAAAATTAAGAGACGTTCATAGACCACAGATCACAAGGAAACAAGAATGGAAAGAATATAATCCAGCTTGTTTTCCCTCAAAGCAGAATCAGTTATAAATATCCAATTCTGAGCAAATGTTCATTTAATCAGAATTCTAAAAACTGATTTTTCACAGAGGCCATGAAAAAAAAAATGTCTTTTTGCTTTCTTCGCAGATACCTGTAAGTACTACAGAATTGTTACTGCAGCTTCCATAGAATCATGGAATGGTTTAGGTTGGACCAATCGAAGGCCATCCAGTTCAAAACCCCCTGCTGTGAGCACGGTTGCAGCCCATTAGATCAAGTTGCCCAGGATCTCATCCAACCCAGCCGATTTTTTCCAGCCTTGACTTTCTGTAATTCCATTTGAAGGATAGAAAGCATTAAGGTGTAGGAAGTGGCACTACAGAGTAGTGGACTGGTTTCCACTACTTTCCTGCAGGCAAACATTTTTGCGCAGAGCAACAAAGGCTCTTGCTCATATGTACTGTAGTAATTCTCACTTTCTGACAAGTTTTACCCTTGAGCTGAAAGGCAAGTTACAGCTCATTCAGTTTTCAGATTCTACTGAGTTCTGCTCACTATTTCAGAGCAGAGAAAGTTGTGTCTTCAGTACACAACTTCTGCCAAATTCTCACAGACAGCATTGATCAGGGTATTGAAAAGTACAGTTAAATACACTAAAATAATAAAAAAAATGTTAGCATGACATACCACTGCATACTGCATCATTTTAGTTATTGTTATTGAATGATTTGGGTTGGCAGGGACCATAAGGATTAGCTAATTCTACCCTGCCTGCTACGGGCATGGACTAGATCAGGTTAATCCAAACCCCGCCTAGCTTCTGAAATCAGCATATCTCTTACTTTTGTCAATTCCATGTCTGTGTACTAACTTTCATGCATTTAAGATGTACAAGCACTTTAGAGAACAAAACTAGTGGGTTGTTGGTGTTTTTTGTTTGTTTCTAGTGAAACCATATGAAAGAATGAGTCTTGAAGAATTAAAAGAGGCTGAAGATGACTTTGATGAGGCTGATAGGAAGGCTATTGAGATGTACAGGTGTAGTAAGATATACTAAGACGTCCTTTCATGACATACAGATACTGTTCCTAGGCATAACTATAGTACAAACCAAGTTCTCATGCAGCTATTGAATAGTATACCAATCTGTTCATCATACCATGAGGAGTTGGTGAGTTTTCTGGCTTTGAGTTCAGAAAACTTGGGTGGCTTGTTTAGAGACTTAATAATTATTTCAGTTGTCTTGGACATTCACATGTGTATTTTACAGGGTACCCTGTGATATTCTGCAGAGCTTAACACTGTAACTAAGAAAAATCAGGCATAAACAGTTCCGACAGAATAAAAGTGGGAATGTGATCAAAACACATTCGTCTAAGATTCTACCTATGCTTATTGCTTTTGTGCTGTTAAAATAACTAAAATCTATGTATTTAGTAGTGTATTCACGTAGAAAGCTGATCATTCACATAATTTAGGGAAAGTTATGAATGTAAATTATGTTGTATTTGTTGCCAAAGTATAATAATGTTGTGTGTACATTTAGTCTTGCCATCCAATGGTGGCTTTCAGTCAGTAAAATTAATAGCTTCTTGTAGTTCAACACATCTCAGGGAGGCATTTTCATTTTCTACTCAGCAATTATTTTTATAGATGAAAGCTGCCATCTACTGGTTTTGCATTCCAATTTTCATGAAATATTGTATGAGTGTGGTATTGCGTTCACACGTGACGTACTGGTAGTCCATGCTCAAATTACTGATGTTCAGAATGATGGAAATGATTTGTACCTGTACAGTTTTTGTGCTTTTTCTCAGATGATTAAGGTGCTTTGCAGTGTGTTTCTTTAAGTTTCCCAAAGTTGATGCTGATATAAAAACTTTCTTAGTTTTATATTCACATTCATTAACTTTATTCAATAAGATTAGCTTAGAAACCTTTCTAGCTCTGAAATGATACTAGAAGACCTTGAGCTAGAGTATTATTCAAAATGGGTTTTTAAAAGGAATAGAGCAAAATGTACTAGATTTTATTAAAAATGCATTTTAAATGTTTCAAATATACTTATTTTCCTTACTGCCTTCTAATTAGGCAGCAGCGCTTGCAAGAATGGAAACGTCTTCAGAGGAGGCAAAAGTATGGGGAGCTGAGAGAAATCAGTGGAGAGCAGTATGTTAAAGAAGTTACAAATGCTCCTGAGGATGTTTGGGTCATAATTCATCTTTATCGGCCCAGGTAATTATTTTCTAGTTTACGGTACTGAGTACATCAAAACAGGGAATTCAGCTGGGGATTACACAGGAATACCAAGAAAAATGAAACACAGCAGACTATCAAAATAGCAGTTGGTTGGAGGCAGTGGAAGTGATTCCACTGAGCATGGGGCCTCCTTGACTTTTTTAATTCGCTTTTAAGATTAGTTTGCTTTGATCATTTGTGTGAAAGATTCCTTTTGCTGTATATGCATATCAACAGGTACTAAGTCTCAGATTTCCAAATTTCACTGAAAGTGTTCTTTACTTTCTGTTCTAATAGAACTTTCTTTGAAGCCCCTCTGCTCAGCAGGAGGCCTCTCACAGGACTTCTGTTTCTTCTATAGTAAATCAAATATAGCAGCACTGGAAAGTCTCAATTCTGAAAATCCAGGAATGCTGAGGGAATTTCTTAGTTCAGCAGTTGCCCAATATGTTCTGTAATAGTAGCAGAAGTTGTGACAGAATGAAGCAGAAATTTCAAAGGGCTGCCAAGATTAGTTCACCATGTGTTAACAACCATCAGGTGTTTTGCAGAAGCACTGTGAATAAGAATGGAATGTTCAACATTTGTTTAGATTCAGACCAGCTTTCAGCTTTCTCTATTCCTTCTTCTTAAGCACCTTGGGAGGAAGTTTATTTGATTCCTTTCAGTTGCCAAGAATTGAGCATTATTTCCAGGAGCAACAAATAGGGCAACAAATCAAATGAAATTGTTCAAATTACAGTAAATTAAATTTACAAACCTGAAGAATTAAAAAAAAAAAAAGCATCTTTTCTTCCTCTTCGTTGTTTTTGTTTACTGGAGAATCACTTCTTTACTAGTTCGTTATACAGACGAGACTGTGAGAAACATGTTCAGTTCCTTAGGACTGAATATGAGATCTCTGAGGCGTAGCGAATGAACAGATCCCATCCCCTGACTGTGACCGCACGTGCTTTTGGCCACCAGGGCGCGCCCGTAAGCTGTACCCGCTGGCGCTTCGGTCCCTTCCAGCCAAGTTCCCGACATGTAAGCGGTAACCGGGCAGGAGGGAAACAAAACCACCGCGCTTTTTTGTTGTCGTCGTGGAGGCTTACATGGCGATTGCACTGCAAATACTGTGAAAGTGATGAGCAATCCCGTGGTGGTCATATGGCTATACAAGGATTTCCCTGTCGTTTAGCTTTCACTAAAAGAGTTAAATGTTAAATTGAACACCAATTCAAGTGAAACATGTATCATAGACTTAAAATTTCATCTAAACTTGCGATAAATGGACAAGATAGGCTTTCAAATCTTTGCATGTAACGAAATTGAGGTACAGTGCTTGCTTGAAGCACCTGGTAGCTTTACTGACCTTCTAGGAACTGTGGCTATTACACGCATTGAAGGTCTTTATTTGGGCAAATCAAAGTGATCTTAGAAGCAGCTAAATAAAATCTGTAGTGCCAACCTAACTACAACACGAAGAAGAAACAGAGTAAGCCAAAGTGCACTTGTATTAGTCAAAGGTCTAATTATAGTAGCGTTAATTATTTTATACATCATTTATACTGCAGATATGATCATGTCCTCATATCTTCTCCTAGCATCCCAATGTGCCTACTAGTCAATGAACATCTCAGCCAGTTGGCCAGAAAGTTTTCGGAAGCCAAGTTTGTCAAAGCCTCTGTGAACAGCTGCATCCACAGTTACCATGACAGGTGCTTACCCACAATACTTGTATACAAAACTGGGGAAATAAAAGCCAGGTTCATCGGGGCAGCTGAATGTGGCGGGATGTATCTTAAAGTGGAAGGTAAGAGAAATACTTCTGAATAATTCACTTACTAGAGAAGAATTATGTTGTTTGTAATCGTTAGATCTAAAGATTGCTGCTTAAAAGAAAAAAATAAAAATATTTTTGTAGGAAAGCTGACAAAAAGTAAAGAATAATTTATGTAATCCTGCAGTGCTAAGAATTTTTGGCAAGCATAGATATTTTACACTAACACAGTTAACATTTAACAGCTTTTTCTTGCTGCTGAGATAAGGGCTTTTGTAAACCATGCTCTAAGTGAAAATGTACTGCAATCAACAGCATAAATTGTCATTTGTTGTTACAGAGCTTGAATGGAAGCTAGCAGAAGTTGGAGCAATTGAAAGTGACTTGGAAGAAAACCCCAAAAAGGACATTATAAATATGATGACATTATCAATGCAAAACATTTCTGTTCATGAAAACATCAATATAAAAAGCAGTGATGTACTGAAACCACAAATTACTTGAGGATGAGTTTTCCATGTGGGTAACCTGTTCAGACTCAAACTAGCACAAAAGTAGCTTTCTATTGCTTTTGAAAGTCTCAAACAATAAAAAGGGTGTTTGTTTCACTTGTTTTTTGTTTTTCATTTGATTTGGTTTTGAACTAACGTAGTAAATGAAAGCCCTGCCTGGAGACTGCTCCTGCGGACACCGACAGTTTGCATTCTTCTTTTCAAACAAATTGCTCAAATGGAAGAGGGAGGAGGCTGTTAGCAATTAGGATGTAATCCATACTTATTCCTCTTTTTCTCTATCAGAGGTGCATGCTTGACTCCTTTAATTCACAGTGAAATGACTGTAGTGGGATTCTGCTCTAAATACTTTCTTAGTTCCCCCCATTGAAAAGCTGATCTGAAGAAAATGATGCGTACAATGATATAAAAACAGGATTTAGCCCTGAATGTAATGACCAATACTTTTGCTTGGTTGACAGGTATGCAAGAATTTTCTCTAGTGGCAGGGATTCTCTTTGCACTCTTCTAATGCACATAGTTGGATCAGTTGTTCCTTCCCAGTAAAAATAAGGACATACTTCACAAAATAGTTTATGTTCCATGTGTATATAAGCAAAACAAAACTATGTCAGTGAATAAAGTGACCACACTCCTGATTTGGCATTTTTATTTATTGCAAGCAGTGAACCAAATTGGATTTCATAGTTAATTTTTCCAATGACTCAATTAAAAAAAAACAAAACAAAAACAAACCCTGTGTGCTAAAGATTATACAGATTTGACATGGTTTATTGCATCAGTATGCAGAAACAGAACAAATGGTTCACTTAACACTTGGCATGAAGGTACCTCAGAAAAACAAGAAAATAAACATCAGTGTTTTCTTTTTAGTCAGGAGGAATACAGTAGATATAAGTAGGTATGTGATGTCAGGTATTACTATTGGAAAGTTATAGTTTGCAGATTCAAACAGAATGGATAGATGCATTTTAGAGTTAATAGCTTCTCTGCCACTTATGTTAGTTCCTTTCTAGTTTTTAAATGCAAACAGGTCATCAGCGATGTCTGATATCATTCCCTAGGCAACGCTGGTATTCACCTTAGGTGACTGCCATGAAAAGGGTGCTGCCACCACTTCCTCCTCACAGCAAACCTCCATTATGCATTAAGGGGTTGCAGTGTTAGAGGAGCACAAGCACAGTACCCACCCTCATCATCTGACATCTACACTCTGTTTCCCCTAACTGAACCATTGCAGCAAACTCACATTGACAACAAGGATTAGGAACACAGTATTTCTAGGTGGAAATAACCTCACAGAACTGCTGTCTGTTCCTTCAGAAGCCCTTATAATGTTTTCTAAGGTAACACATTAAAAAACATTGCCTCAGTTAGGCTACGACAGGCAGAAAGTGCAGTGGTGTGTGATCTGCATGGCCTGGCAAATCTGCAACCATAAGACATGGAAGCTTCAAAGGGAGATTTGATACTGCAGCAGGCTGATGTTGCTCTCTGCAAGGCATATTTTGAGGGAAGAGATACTGCGTGTATCTCTAGCATGTTTTCTTGAAGGATTACTACTGGCACTACTTGTGTCAAATTCCATACATGCAGCTAGATGCTAACTTTAGTCTGTGGGTTTCTTGGCTGTGTCCCAGTTCTGGCAATAACACCTTTTTGTTGAAAATGGTTCTGTGTCTTCTCCTGGAGTTTCCATTCCTGCTGTGTCCTATTGCCTTTACTGCATTTCCTCACAGAAGCAACACCCTTTACCTAAGTAACAATATGATCACTTTATTCATATCGATTTTCTACAAACAAAAGCTAGAACTGGAGTATTTTGAATCTGTAAATATTCCAAGTGTTCTTACTCATGCTGTTTACAATTTCACAAACAGAAAAACCCAACAAGCTCATGGATAGCTTTTTGGCAGCGTTACCTCTAAAAGGCTTCCTGTCCCCACACTGCCTGGGTACTGTCACAAGGCAGCTCAAACAGGAAAATGAATTTACCTGAAAAGTAATCCAGAAATGAATACCTCTGAGATTTAGGAGCCAAATCAATTCCCTTCCCTCACTGCAGGCACCTGATTAACGGTGGCCGCGTTTGTGGCTACTAGTAGAACAGTATTCCACAGCACGTTCTGCAAAGTCCACCACACGATTGCATCCTGAAGTTCATATAAGCTTTAAAAAGCACACACAGGCACACACAAAAAAGCTGACTTTTATTATCAGACAGTCTTGCTGCCTCCAATCGCAGCCGCATGTTCCTGCGCTGATATAACATTTTCTGAACGCACAACACGGAGGGTTTCTATAGGCGTCGGGATTTCCAATACTGCCAGGGCCGATTCCGACGTCTGACAGCTGAGACTGCCTCGCGAACCGGCGCTAACCGCGAACGTGGAGACGCTGAAGGCCGACCCGCGAGCTCCGCCCGCTTACCCACACCGACGGCAGAAACCGCGGAGCGGGACGGCGCGGCATTCCCCCGACGCGCGGCAGCAGTCCTCAGCGCGCCCTTTCCGCAGGCAGGACGCCGCGCCCCAGCTCCATCACCCGCGCCACGGGCTGCGGCCGGCCTGGCGCTCCGAGCCGCAGAGGTGGCGCTGCGGGGCCGGGATCCCCGCTCCCCGCTGAGACAGCGCCCGCCGCCATTTCCTCCTCGGGCGAAGCGGGGTGAGGCGAGGCGAGGTGAATCCAGGTCATGAAGGCGCGGCACCCAGCGCGCCTGCGCGGCTCCCCCACCCCACCCCGCGCCCGGCTCCTCGATCTTGCGCACGCGCGGAAGGGCGATCCGCTGGCTCGGGCGTTCGCCCGTTCGCCCGCCGCTTCTCCGCGCACGCGCAGACGTGGCGCTCCGGAGCGAAGGGCCGCCGTGCCGCGGCTTGCAGTGCGCTGTGACGCACGCGCGGTGGCGCGAGGCGCCGCGGCTGCCGGCGGTGGGCTCGGCGGCGCAGGCGCGGTGGCGGGGATCGGCGGGCCCGGCTGCCGGCGCTGCTGCCGCCGGGGAAGGCTGCGTGCCGGCGGCGGGCGCGGGGCTGCGCGCGGAGAGCGGCGCTCGTCGGGAAAGGTCGGGCGGGCGGGCGGCGGCAGCCGCGCTGGGAACGGGGTGCGAAGCGAGGTGCCACGCGACGCGGGCGGCTCCGACGTGCTCGGATCCCGAGGAGGGGGCGAGCCGGGGGACTGCGCGGGGTGGCCGCCGAAGTTTGACGGCGCCGCCGGGTCCCCCGACGCCGGGGCGGCGGCGGGGCGCGGGGAGGGCGGCGGCCGCCCTTGAGCGGGGCGCGGGCAGCGGCAGGGCCGGGGGGCGCTCGCGGGGCACCCGCTAGGCCCGGTGACCCACTTTGCTCCTGTCACAACTCCCGGGCACGTTTGGAGCGCTGCCCGCCTGGCCCGCCGCCCGGCCCGGCCGCTCCCGGCAGCGCGGCGGGCTGTTGCAGGCCTCGTCCGGGCCCGGGGCGCTGCGGGGCGGCGGGCGGCGGCCCCGCGGCAGGTGGGGCGGCCGCGTTCTTCGCGGGAAAGCGGCTCTCGAGCCTTCGGTGCTTTCGGACGTTCCCCGTTAGAAACTCGGTGGCGATGGCCGCAAGTGCGCTCCCGAGTGCTGCCGCGCGCGCTGAGGCTGAGCGCCGTTCCGCGCTGCCCTGGCTCCGGGCGCAGTGAGAGCGCCGCGGGTAGGTGCGCAACCCGGCGCCGGGCCGGGCCGCCCTGCTTTCCACGCGTGTCCGCTTAAGGCGGCCGTGGGGTTCCGGTTGGTTTCGGTTTCAAATGGCTTGTACCTTGGGCCCGGGACATAAACTCGAAATGTATTTGCGTCAGGAGCAAGGCTTGTAAACTCCCCGGGGGTATTTACACTGACATCTTCGTAAGGGCTGGGCTTTCCTGTAGGCGCTGGACGTTGACCTGCGGAGAGGCAGAAGGAAAGCGAGGTGCAGTTGTGTTGGGATGCACAGAGGTGGGAAGAACCCTAGTGACCTATACGAGCTGCTAAATGCTGACAGCAGGTGTGCTCTCATGGCACGATTTGACAAGCAGCACTGCAGACTGGAACTGCTGGTCCTCTTGTCCCACTGCCCTCAGCCCCACCAGCACCACACTACATGGAGCTGCATCCCGCAGAAGGGTGGGAGCGATCCCGGTTAAAATTAACCACTTTTTTTTTTTTTTTTTTTCTGATGTGGTTATATTTAACCTCGCTCATTGCTCTGGGTGACAGGTGTGTCAGAAGGCAAGAGGATTGTTAGGGCAAATGCGCTAGTGAGGGAAGTGCTTGAGAAATACACCACGACTGGGGCAGTCCTGGCAGGGCTGTTTGAGCAGCTGGGTCGCACTTCCATCATATCACACAGGAGTAAAACTGGTTTTATCTATGGATATCTGCAGGTTTGAAATCGGGCAGCATTTGATTGTTTTAGTAGGGAAATTCTACTCGACAGACTGTGTGCTTTGCCAGTCTTGCTACTGACTTTTATGTATGTATCCATTCGTGGTCCTTTGATGAAAGCGCTAAAGACATTGCTTTCAGATAGATAAAATACTGAATGTTTGGGTTGGGGTTTTTGGTTGAATGCAAGTGGTAGTGCTGTCAAGGGGTGAGAGTTTTGTGAAGAGTTAACTCTTTAAGAAACAGTCCACATGGTTAAAAAACAAACCTGAAAGCCTCTCAGGTTTGACGCTTGATACTTTAAGATGTTATTCAGGCATGCCTTGTTTTTTTAATTCTTCTGCATCATGTTCTTACGTCAAAGAGCTTAACTTACATAGGTAACATAAAGGATGTGAGTAAAGCAATGAGTATTTTTTTAAAATGCTTGAAAGAGCTCAAGTCTCTCCTGTAACTAATTTTACTGTTTTTTAATGCTCAACAATATAAAAATGGAGTGGTAATTACTTTAATTTATAGTGTTGGTTAATTATCTTGTTAGCATAGAATTTCATTGAAGTCATAAATCTTCATAGATTGGCCTGGTTGAGGAAATTGCTGCTTTCAGAAGCTTTGTGCTATTGCTACTTTTTGCCCCTAGTCAAACTCTGGTTGGAATATTAATAAATTAGCAATAGAAATATCACCCTCTGTGATATTTATACAAAGTGGTTGTATTGGGGTAGGGTTCTTGATTTTTACTACATGCAATAGACTTGTGTTGAAAATAGTTGCGAATCTAAATCGGTGGGTAATTTCATCGTATGGAAACAGCCCCTTTTTAGCTCTGCGCCCTTCCTTCACAGAGGGGGCACTGTGTCCAGAGCTGCACAGAGCTTCAGCCTCACTTAGCAGTTGTTGAATACAGGTACAAATATTTGGCTGCCTCCTATTTTCTGTTATGCTGAGAAATTGCTAGCAGCATTGTTATTCTGAATTCAGTAGTACTTCAGAATAGAAGGAGGTGTAAGAAGTGCATCTTTGGTCATGTGGCAGAGCCTGAAGTGAAAGATTCCAGTGCCTCTGTGTAATGCTGGCACAGGGGAACACAGCCATTCCCATCAGGATCTCTCATTCCCTTCTGTGTGGTTCACCTGGGGAAAGCAGCTCAAAATTACAGCTGGGTGCTTTATTAGTTCAGATAATGGGCTTCAGTGGTAGTTTAAAACTGTTAGGTGTTTCCCAGTTCGTTTGTTGCAGGAGTTAAAGATTGAAGCACAAGGAAGAGAGGAAGAACACTCATGGTTAATGCAGCTGCCTGCTGCCCTGAAGGATTGAATTCTCAGCCTCTACAGCTGCCACAAAATGCCTTTGTAATGCAAAGGCCACTTTAATTTTGGCATACCTCATGCCTGAGTGTTTAATTTTATGGCCTTAATGTTCTCTTACCGTAGTGTTAATGTATAATATAAATTCTTAAATATAGCTGCTTTCAGAATATGTAATCGTATACTTAAAGTTTCTGCACTTTTCAGTTCCCAGGTATTTAATACTCAGTAGAACGAGTTCGTCCATGGAGTCTTTTGTCACCTTACTGTTTGCCTACTTTGGACTCTTTCCAGCTGTTACATTTTGTCGTTGAAATCACTGAATTAGTTTTCTTACTCTGCAGTGATGTTCTGAGGAACAATGCTGACTCTATCATAAAATCAGCTGTAGTAATATTGATATTTTATTCAATATAGATCCATTAGAAGTGGATACGCGGTGTAAGATTCAGAACTGCTATTTTGGTAAAATCTTATGAAGCTTAGGAGATACTGTGGGCATTCCCCATCTTCCCAATAAAGATGTATCCGAGTGAAGCTTTAGAGTGGTGACAAATGCTTTGTCCTTGTAGTAGTGTTTAATAATCTCTAAGTCAGTGAGAAAGCTTCAGTTCTAGAGCTAAAACCATTTGACTCGTGACAGCCTGCTACCACAGGACAAATGGTGTTGGAGTTATATCCTTATGTTAAAGCAGAATGAAATGATTCTAGGAGAAAGATCCATCTTAAGTGAATTTAAAAATAAATACTGGAATGTAAACACTGTGAGGTTCTGTAGATGTAAAAAGATATTTGCAGGTGTTTCTGAGGAGGTTTTGATGCATGTTATTTTGGTATCTGGCCAGACCCAAAAGGAATAGAGAGGAGTGAAAACTGTGATTTAAATGGGTTCTGAATACCTAGTCCAGCATGAACTTTTAGCCATATGTTGGCTGTGTTTTTGCAGGTCTCTGTAAAAGTTCTCCAGGCACCTTGAAGCTTTGTTCTCACTCAGATCCTCCATGCTCTTGTCAAAACGGAGCATCTTGGCACCTCTGCCTGTTTAGTATTCATAAATTAGGCAATCTGTAAATTAGGCATTCACTTGTCCGAAGGCATGTTCAAACCGCACCTGAGTCACACCTATGGGATTGGACTCGGGCCGACCTGGTGACTCTCTCTTTGGTTCAGAAGCACAAAGGAGGGACAAGGTAGAAGGGTTGTTTTTTTTTTTTTTTTTTTTTTTTTTTTTTTTTTTTTTTGATGTCTCTTTCCAAAAAAAACCCACAAAACTCAGGTGCTCCCAGCAACAACGGAAAACCCAAGCACAAAAAATCCACTTTTCACTGCTTAGAAGGTGATTGAACTGGGCAAAAGAAAAACACTACATTGCTTGTTTTCTTGGAGCTGGAGATGAAGGAGATAGGCAACTGTGTTCTGGCTTCTTCCAAGAGCTCTTCAGTTTTTTCTTCCGTATAAAACTTTAAATGTCATTAGGGAATGGAAGCCAGAACTCTTCTCTGTCATGTTGGGACCCAGAGAGTCTGCATGCTGTCCTGCAAGCCTTTTACTTCTCAGTTTTTCTTACTTGCTCTGAGGTCTGATGCTGGAAAGAGAGGTCAGGAGTTGATCCAGCTTCCAGCAGAGCATGGAACCTGCAAAGAGGCTGTGGTCTGGACCCCTCTGGAGAGTAGCTGTGATTTCTCTGTTCTGGCTTACTGTGTTGTAACTGTGCTGCTGGACAAAAATCAGAACACTTATTTTCCCTCTCTCTGGTGTGTCTTGATGGGAAAAGCTTAGCTATATACACCAGGATTGTGAATACTAACCTTACCAGTGTTCCAGTCCTTCAGAAACAGGTGATGTTGAAGGCTTAGTTTTGTATTTACTAGTTACTTTTAATGTCTGTGTACCTTCTAATTTTTTTAGAAGTATTGCTGAGCAATGCAGCTTTCCTTGGCTTTGGTACTTTTTTTTTCTACAACTACTTAAATGGAGGTTGTAGTGAGATGGGGGTCAGCCTCTTCTGTCAGGTAATGGTGACAGGATGAGAGGTAACAGCTTTAAGTTGTGCCAGGGGAGCGTTCAGGTTGGATGTTAGAACTGAATTACTAACATCTTGTGGTAGTTGTGGAGCTATTGGACACCTAGAAGAGGAATGCCTGAGAGTAGGCTTATCATCCAGCACAGCATCTAACTTTCAGATGCTTAATGCTTAACCCTGGCAGTGTTCAAGAGCTGTCTGGATGATGTGCTGCGTGATATGGTTTAGTGCTAGTGGTGGCAATGGTGATGAGGAGACGGTTGGACTAGATGATCTTATAGGTTCTTTTCCAACCTTGTGATTCTATGATTCTATGAATAGTGGGGTACAGTATTGTTTACAATGTAATGCCAACATTGTAGATAAAATCTAAAAGTTTTTAACATGCAGCTCTCTAAGTATGTGAGAGTATCTCAGGTCGCTGATCCCATAAGCATCCCATTAACTGCTGACTTGACAGTTATTCCTAAAGTTCCAGCACTGCCTTATGAGTACCATCAGAAAGAGTGTTTGTGAACGTACTAGGAAAAGCCTTGTAACAAGCTGCCCTTGGAAGACAGAGGAATGATAATGTATGCATTTCTTAATATGCATTAACAAAAATCTGAGAAGAAGCACGCAGTTTTACATATTAAATGATTAGTTTGGAGAATATTTGAGTATAAGATAGTAAGATGCATAATAAGGAAGAAAAAACACTTTAAAATAAATTGCATTAATAGAGCTAACTTCATGTTTCCAATTCTAAGAATTCCACTGCTGCTGCTGTGGTAAATAAAACATAAGTTACCATTTTTACACTTTGTGAAGTACATCCAGGATGATAAAAGCTTTTATTGGTGTAGTAAATATTAGTTGCTGGCATTTAAGAGTATGTGACGATTCTGGTGGCTGTTTCACTGCATGTTTAATGCAGTGTCAGAGACTGGTATTGGTCTTTTGAGTAGTGGATGTTACTCACGTGCACTCTGACAAAGCTGTCCTGGAAGAATAATGTTCCAGCAGCTTGGTGGCTGCTCGCAGCAAGGTGGTTGTGAATTCTGAGAGGGGAAGCTCATGCTGATGTGAGCAGGTGGGAGATGGGGAGTTCTTCCAATGGAACTTGTCAGAGAAATACCAGAGGCTTCAGCTGGCTTGGTTATCCTTGATCATCCAAAAGCTGCAGACTATGTTAGGGGGAAAAATGATGGTGTGTGGAGGGACTTTTCCAGCCCCTACTCCATGAGGGGTGTGTTTTATATTTGAAACGTAGGTCTGAAGATGTGAGAAATCAGGAAACATTTCACCAAAATCTGCTTGGCTCAGGAAACAAGCAACAAGGGAGGTGGCTTTTTGTTTTTCTTTTAAGCCCAGTTTCCTACGGAAAGTGATTGATGCTGTTTATCCCGTTCTTTCCTTAGATATTTGCCAGTAGCTTTTGAAGTCACAGACCAGTTGCAGCCGTGATTGCAGGAAGGACAGAGATCTCAGACTGTCGCATTCGTACAGTTTTGGGGAAGAGAAACAAACTGGGTGGAGAGAAACCTGTCAGTGCCCTTTCTTGAGAGAGAGAGAGAGAGAGAGAGACCACGCTGCAAGTTTGGCGCTGATTTGCTTTTTAGCATGTGCAGGAGGTCATTGGGTGTAGGCTGGCTTGTTATGCAGGGCAGGGGAGTGCTGATGGAAGGTAAAACTATGGGAACTGTGCTTTACTGTCTGTTAATGAGTATTTTGATCATTAACTGAGGAATTACTGTTCTGATCAGAATTAGTTTGCTTACTTTGAATTCCTGGACAATTTTCTGCTCAGTAATGCCGGATACTCTTTTCAAGTCTCTATGACAGATGTAGTGTTTATAAATCTTGTAAGATGCAGAAACTTCAATTATTACAATATGTCAGTTACCAAGTAGCATAATAGATGTAAAATAGTTATGTGGCTTTGACTTGTGCTTATTTTAAAGTAGTTTTCATAGTAACAAGTATTCTGAGGGAAACCAGCTTTTTCTCTGTGGGTAGAAAAGCAAGTAGCAGCATGAATCAGGGCTTCCAAGAGCTGTCATTAGGAATGCATGTTTTCCCCCTATTCACACACTTTCCTCACTGTCAATTTTAATGAGGTAATATGATTTAATAAAGCTTTTCTTGCCATTCACAGCAGCAGCAACATTCATTACATGTAATCAAGCTGCTGTTAGTGAGTGTGTGGCTGAGGATGAAAGTAGAGTGTGGAACTTGTGTGCTGCTTTCAATGGTAGCTTGTTATCATCTCAGTAACCTTGCTTAAAATACGTTTCCTTATCTAGCTGTAGCAAATGCAGATTTTCAGGTGAAAATATTTTTGTTGTTTTGAGGTGTTTTTTTTTCCAGATTGTAAATTTTTTTTGCCAGCCTAGCAGCGTTAAACGTTTTGTGCTGCGCTAAAGGTTTGCATGATGTTTCCCGGATAAAGACACAGTTCCGGCCTTGAAGAGCTTGTGATCTAAATGTCAGTGATAAAGAAAATGAGGAGAATGGTTTCAGAAAAGGGGACAAGGATTCAAATGGCTGGAAGTCATAGCACGTAACTTAAACAAGTTGTGATTTCTAAGAACAGCATAAGGTACCAGCACAGAAAAGGGTGAGAATATAGAGGCAGAAGACAGCATAAAGCAAATCCAAATAGTATAAAGATCTGAAGGAATAGAGGGAAAATATGTTACTGAGCAGGATTTGGAAAATGTAACATCAGAAGAGTAGGCAGAATCAAGATGAACAGGAATGGGGATGTGGTAGGAAACGGAGACAGGAAAAACATAGAAGAAACTTCTAAATTATGGCTTTTATGAAAAGAAAAAAAAAAGGAAGGAGACAGGAAAAGGGTTGGGGAATGTGCTGGTTTGATCGGTTTGGCAGGAAAGCTGGGACACACATCCTAGTGCTAAGACTTTCCCTTACCCCCTGTTCCACCCTGACATTTAGCTGTCGATTTCAGCTGCTTTTAAAGGGAGTGGTGGAACAACAGCAGTGGGCCTGAAAACTCAGGCATGTGTGTTCTCCTGACACTGTCTCCCATTCCATGCAGGTTTTGTGTGAGCTGGTGGACTTCTGCATGAGTTTCAGCACCACTGAGGTGGGGTTGTAGAAGCAGCTGGCATCAGAGGTGATCTGGGCAATGCTGCTTAATATAAGTCAAAAAGGATCCGAAATGTTTTTTGCTACGTTATCTGAAATTGCTTTTTCAAATGATCTTAGTTAAACTGATACTACCTTTAAATGGAAAGTTAAATGTGTGGTTGGTTTACATTGAGTTGTTTGAATCTTGTTTGCTTTGCTGATACAGGAATGCCAAGTAATCTCATACATTTGTATGGAATGTTTTTAAAATGTCACCTAGACACTTCTCCAGCCCTATAAAAAAAAAAACATAGTTGGTCCTTTCTTGTCTATATGTTATACTGGGATTTGATTCAGTAGATTGATTTCTAATATTAGATTGTTCTTCTGAAAAGTAGATAAATGGATGATAATCTGCCTTTCTTCTTCTCACATTAGACTTTTCTAATGAAATATATTTTTGAAATAGCCTTGTTCAGTCCCTGGCATTCTTTGTCTCTGTTGTGACATCTTCCAGCTGTGTTGTATGTATGTGGGGACAAGATGGGGAGGAATAGGGATTTTGAAGTTCTTTTTTTAGGTCAAAAGAAATTTGTTTTCCTTGCGTATGTTGGAAGTAGATGTATGGATGCCTTAACAGATATAGTTTGCCTCATGTAAGTGTTCACTGCAAGGTATCAGCAGTGATAACTAGCAGTGGTTTTCCATGCAGAATTGTCAGCAGTTCCATATATACAAAACTCTTCCCTATTTGTAGGAGTACTGCACTGATACTTGTAGGAAACAGAGTTGTTTTTTGTGAAGGGAATAGTGTTTGCTTCCGTAAATATTTGGGGTATGGCTAGTTTCTACTCAGCAGAACTCACTGAAGTTTATGTTCCTCCTTAGTGAGGGGAAGATGGCTTTTGTTCTTTCTTGTGCTGTCATATGCTGTGTTCCTTAGGAGTTCTGACGTGGATAACACCTGCTGTCTGAACCATAATGCAAAGTTAAGATTGTATCCGTGTACTTCTTTCCTAGAAATGTGGCTGGTGTGTTACTGATGCTATGGAAGAAGGGCGTAACTTGCTGCAAAGCAATTGTAACATTTAGTAGGCACTGTTAGAACTGTAACTGTGGTGCTACTCTTAGGCCTTTGTGTTAGGCTGTAGGTTGGGATTTCAGAGTGGAGGAAGTTCAGACTTCCGAGCTAAGTAAAGGGAGGAATGTACATCTGAAGTTCTCCATCCTCACATGTATTCCAGTTGTGTGGAGTGAAGAGCTGGAGTGTGAAGTTGTGAACACTTTAGGGCTAGAACTAAAGTGACCGTAATAGTAGCAGAGGAAATAGGGCAGCAATCAAGGGCTCATCCACAAGTTGTTTCAACTAGATTCATTTTCATAGAGCTGTTGTGTTTTTTTTTTTTTTTTGTTTTGTTTTTTCAGAACACTGTGCCAAAAAAGACTTTTGCTCAGATGACATCATACTTGGACTACTAAAGCTATCCACCCACTCTTCAAGGCATAATGGATTTCTAGGTAATTTAAGTAAGTATGTAGATTTTATTGCTGCTAAAACAGTACTGGTTTAAATAGAAGTGTCTCTTTTTTCAGCCTCAGCAAGGTAGACGTTCCCCTTCAATTTGAGATTGAAATTAATGTTGTGTGGGTGCTGGAATAGACTTCAAATAAGCTTTTAATAAGCTTCCATCCTGTAGACAGGAGCACAGAATAAAACAGTTGTGCCTGAGAAACCAGAAGGAAAAGAAGCAACCCATGGTAGCACTGTCCTTAGCAATGACATATGCTAATGTGGCCCTGCTGTTTTAGGAGCCTGAATTAGTGTCTCTCCCAGGGATGTGTTGCAGCAAATGAGCGTATGTATTGCTATGCTCACAGCTTGTTGGGGTCTTCTTTCACAGATGCTCTTGTGAAAGTGGTAATGATACTCCATTAATGTACAACTACATACAAAGCAAACAAATGCATCTTAATAGGTTCCAATTAGCAGTCCCTCTGTTCACTTGTCATCATCTTTCTGAAAGGGTTGCATCTCCCCACTGCTTTGATTTGATACTCTGCTATCCAGCTGAAGACGGGCCAGGAGGAGCAGATTTCCATCTTTGCAGGATTCATTCGTGTCTTGTCATGCAGTCTGTTTACTGATTGTATATCCATGGTCACGCAAAGAGGAGTACACGAGACTGGGAAGATAGCTTGAGGAGCCTTTTGTGAGCAGCTTATATTACTGTTAAACTTTTAAGGTGACTCTGTCAGTAAAATAAACAAAAAAAAGCTCTCCAAGCAATGTGGATATACTTAGATATAGCAGACTTTGTGCCAATCTTTCTCAAACTAGGTCGTTTTGTCTCACTGACAGAAAACCTTTCTGTATTCCTGATATTTTATCATGCATTGGAAATGGTTGGTGTCCTTATAGTTAATGATGCTTTAGGCTTTCTGTTTGAAGACCTCTTTTTTTTTTTTTTTTTTTTTTTTTTTTTTTTTTGTAATTTAACAGGATTCAATGAGCAGAAGTTCTTTTTATTGTTCAAACTTGGCCAAAAGTTGCTTCAGTTCAAGCCTTACCAAAGATCAGCTTGCTTCTGAGAATGAGATGGAAGGAGAGGGCAATGCTGTTTTCGTGACTTGAGTTGCAGTGTTAATCTTAGAAATGGAAAGATATAAGACCTGTGTATGTTAGAGCAAGCACTCAGGTGCTTAGGAGACAAGTAGAATTTCAGGAGAAAGCTACAAGAGTTATGTTGCAGTATTGGGCTACTTGCTTTGTGCCATCCTACATAGGCAGCATGATAGATTTCTGAAAAAACCGTTTCTACCAGCTCATTGATTTGCCTACAGCTGTTTCATCTGTCCAAATCAGATGAGGAAGGTCCTTTTATTTATAACCAGATGGAGCAAGTGGGCATACTCTAGCTGGTTTGTGATAGGTAAACAGACCTCAGCTGCTCTGCTCCTTTGTAATGTCAGGTACCAGCACTGAGTAAGGAGACTTTCTTCTGTGCTCTCAGTGCTTTTCCTTAGCACACCCCCAATATTGTGCTCATTCTACTTGTGCAACGCACCTTCAGTAGGATATTTCCATAATTATTGAGCTTTTTTGGTTCAAATTTTCTTTATTATGATTATCTGTTGCTGCTTTTGTGTTCAGAAAGTTTCATAATAAAATGGACTGCTGCAATAATGTGTTCTGTACAAGGTTATAAAGTTACAACAGAAGATTTTTTGAGCATCCTGATTTCTTATACATGGTGTAAATCATAGATGTTGCTTTTTTCAAAATGGCCTTTTCAGACTGTGAAGGTTATCAAGAATTTGTGTTTTCCAGGGCACACTTCAGCTTAATTTACCATTTTTCTCTCCATGGGCTGTTTTCCTTTGCATTTACAAAAATGAAAGGACAAATAAAAATGTTACTTTCTCATAGCCTTTCTTTTTTTTTTTTTTTTTTTTTTTAAAAGTGCTGAAAATCTTCAGTTCAAAACTGTCCTTAAGCAACAGAACATTTTGTATTTACTCTATAAATATTAGTTACAAATATATTTTTATATATTTACTTTATAAAATAAAAAACAGAATATTCATAAATGTTGTCTTAATGCTTTCCACACAAGCAAATGGCTAAGTAGAGATGAAAATATTTCTAATGCTGATTTGTAGAAATAGGAAGAGAACAGAGATTTGAAAGTTGTTATTCTCCTTGATGTGTGTGCATATGTAAATGCATGCAGTTCAGCCTCTGCTTTTCTGGAAATGTGCCTGTGTCACCACTTGTGGAAAAACCCCTTTACTCAGGAGAAAAATCAAACCACTATCATTTAGATTTGTTCTGACTTGCTTACTTCCATAGCATAAGAAGGAATGGCGGTGCGTTTGGAGCCCATCCACAGGAGATGGGAAATGTAACATTGTAGGGCAGGTAGCTTCTCTTTGTCATAGTTTTTGGGGCCGCTCTATCTATCACAGTGAAGAAAAATCTCAGTGTATTTAGTAGGTTCTAGAGAGGTAATGATCTGCAAATGGTTTCTTGGTACCTGAAAGATTTAAAGAGAAAGAGATTGCTTCTGAGCCAGTTCGGAGTTTATCCCAGGTTTTATCTTTGGATCAGAAGAGTTGACTGAAATTAAATAAAGAAGTGAAGTTGCTCACCAAAACAAAGCTATGTCCTGGGCAGGCAGTAAGGAGGGAGAGGAGCCGTGTAGGATAAAGCACTGCTCTTTGTCAAATTATTCCAATCGTGAAACAAAGTAATGCAGATTTGCAAGACAGGCAGGAGGCTGTAGTTCCACTTTGTTTTGCTGGAGACAGACCGTGTAGCGTGGAGGACTGTCTTAAAGCTTCCCCTCCCACCTTTTGCTTATTACAGGTTGGTGCTGAACTTTTTTTTCAAGATTTTGGACTTTGTGTTGAACCAGACCAAAAGTTTCTGGTGTTGATGAGTTACAGAAAGAAGGAATTTGTGTTCCATATAGGAATAAATGGGATGACTTCTTACTGCTTCAGTTTTTATGGATTTAGGATGTAGCGTTCATATTTCACAGATGCTTAATGATGCTTACAGTCATTCAACTGAATTTTTATTATAGTTGATGAAAATTATTATTACCGTATTACTCTGTTATTTTTTGCTTTGAAGCCCAGGCCCACACAGAATAAATCTTCTAAAATACACATAATACCTCAGCTCTTAAAATTTCAACTTAAGAGAAGGTTTGTATGTATTTAGGCTTTTTTTCCTTAAAAGATAATTTTTTAGGCATTGTTTGAGCATTGTTTTCTTTTCATCTCAATTTCAGCAAATGCAGTGTGAAGCCCATTCCTTCATTTGCAAAAACCTCTGGAAAGTTATTTGGATGATATATATTGAATGTTGGTGAAATTAGGTGAGTCTCTGTGGATGTTTTAATAATTCTAAGCAACAGGATGAGTTAATCATGTGAAACCAAATCCTATTTATAACTTACAGTGCTAAGATACAATCTGGCATTTAACTTAAAATCTGGAAGATTAAATTATTAGATAAGCAAATGACATAGCTCAGAAAAAGAAAGGTAAATGTTATGCAGTGTATTCCTGGATTTTCCCTTTGCTCATGTACAAATATATTTGTAATGCAGTTCTTTTATAATGTAAGTTTCTTGATTCATTTCCATTGGCATATCTGCCACAGTGTTCCTGTGGCTGCTCTCTGGGATGATTGAGGTCAGGCATTTCAATATTGGCATAAACAAATATTGCTATATCATTAATCCATTTTCTTTCTAAATTCCAACAGTCATTACTGCTCGATGTTGAGATGAGTTTGAATGACAGAAGCAAGCACATTTTCATTTTCAGCTCTTTTAAATTTAGTTTGTTTAGTAAGTTTAGTTTGAATTTTGGTAGTAATGCTTACAGACGTGTTTTAGTCTCAGCCGTGTGAATTGCAAAGTGAGAAAAATACTGCAAGGTTTATCTGAAAGTTCATAGATGCCAACAACTTCAGTTTTCACTTGCTGCATTTAGTAGCACAGGTAATAAGAGGAAATAAATTACTGAGACACAAAATCTGAAAGATACGTACCAGTAGGTTGGCACATACTGTTTTCTGTTTAGTTTTGCTTTTAATACGGTGAGCAGTTAAAAGCAAAAGCTTCAGTTCTTGTTGAATCAGTGCCTGTTCTGTTTTGTGAGATGATGCCTGTTTTTTGGAAAGGAAGAATATAATTGAAGTATATGTATTACCATTTTAATTTGTGTCATTAATATGGTTTTGGACAGATCTCTCAACTAATTCCTCTTAGTACCTACTGGTACACTGTGATTGAATTACATTCCCTTCTGAGAAAACCAACTTGTAAGTTCTGCTGCAGGTGTGAGGTGCTCTTGTGTCTCTGCTGGGAACATACAGGCCTGAATCAGTTATTAAATTCTTGGAAAACTTTGAATGGCCTGTGTAATGGTAATGTTTGCTTCTGGAGGCTCAATGAAATCTAACCCAAAATAAACCTGCTTGAGCAGTGTCTGCACACGCTGCTTTTGTCTGCTGATCCATTTTACTTGCTAGTGGTGACATGGACAAAATTGTTAGCTTTGATTAATAGTGGGAAGCTGAGGTTTTCTTTGCAGCAGCTTCTTTTTATACAAACTGTCAAGGAAATAGGGAAAAAAAAACTTGCCAATGACAGTAAATCAAATGACCTATATCACAGCTGTCTTTTGTAATTGATTGTTCTTTAATCTGTTTTCCTTCCTTATTTATGTTCTTAAATTGTGAAAAATAGGAGTCATGATTTTTTTTTATAATTTTATGTGCAATACTGAAATTTGTGTACTTCCTGCTCCAGATTTTTCCTTGAATTTTTAATCAGTGTTGATTTAAAAATAAAACAAAAAGGCACTGAAGCCCAGAATTCTGTTGCAGCCATTGAGTCTGAGCAAGGGGAAAAGAAAAAAAAAAAAAAAAAAAAAAAGAGGTGGTCTTCACAAATGTTTGCAGTTTGTTGGTTTTTTTATGCATTGATACCAAGAATCAGTATTGATTTTATTATTTTTTTTTTTTCTGTATTCCTCAGTTTGAGGTTAAAGATGGCAGTTGTTAATGCTTTGAAAATTTAAGTAATATTTGGTTGCCAGTGTTAAATCACTTCATCTTGAACTAACAGTTGTGAGAGTTCTCCCCATCTGTGCCTGTATGGCTTTAATTCTCCTGAGTCCCGAGAACTTGTGAACATTTGCTGCTAGGGTGATATTCTGCCTGCCTAAGCCAATGATTAGGAATAAACTCATTTATATTTTCTGTTTATCAGATTTTTCCATGTTTCAGCTCTTGATTCATTTTTTTTCCCCATAATTACCAGATTGCCATTGAGAGCATCAGTTCTTTAATGTGCTCATTAAACAAATCTGAAGTTGTAGCACCACAGATATCAACGCCATTTTGGAAAACTTCAGGTTGTTATTTTTGGGGTGGGTTTTTTTTTTAATATTAAATGTGGTGTGGGTTTTTGTTGGTTTTTTTTTTTTTTTTTTTTTTTTTTTTCTTCAAACCAAGTTATTTGCAGAGTAATTTAAATTGGTTATATCCACAACATTATTGCGTATTATAACTAGCATGAAAATGTTAGATGTCATATTTTGTTCTCCCAGGCATAAAGCATCTCTCTGTTCAAATTGTATAACCCTTTCTAAAAAATCTTTATATACATGTTTCAGAGACTTCAGCTAGCAAAAAAACCCAAAAATTAAGTTAGAATCAAAATTTAATACTCTGGTGCTTCATCCAGCAGACTCAGGGGGAGGCCTTATTGAGGCAAGAACAAGCCTTTAAAATGAAGACAAATGTTGGGAGTCAGAACTTCAAAATTGTAAGCCAGCAAGTTATAATGAGCCTTCATTTTTTTAAGTAACCTTGTCTTTGGAATATTACTCTCTTCTGTATTTCATTCTCACTCTGTTAGTAAATTAGTTTATGCATTAGGCATAACTAAACTGTTTCAAGCCTCCATATATGCTTAAGTAAAGTATGGCTGTATTCATTAGCCTTTTAGCATGTGGCCTCAACATCTGATTTATATTAGTTCCAGTGTTTCTTGTGAATGCTGATAACTATTGGTATCCTATTCCTTGATACCAGTGTTCAATAGGAGCCTAGCAAGATCCTAGGAATCTCTAAGGCTTTTATAAATACTTTCTTCATGTTACTTCTCAGGTCTTCAATACTCAGTCTGAATCAGATTCTGTTAAAAAGTGGAAAAAGAGCCTAAATGGAATGTTCTACCTCATTTGCTACGATTTCAGCTATTAGCTGTAGGACGTATCTAGTGCAACTTGATTTTTAACTAGATCCTCCTTGCTATTTGAGATGGCAGTCTTTTAAGCATTGCTAATTTTAGTATCTTCGGGAATGACCTGGAAGGAAAGGTTGTAAGTGTTTGTGAGTAAATCACAGTGATGCTAATTTGGGAGCTGTTGAGAACTTGAGAGAGCAGAGAAGACTTTGAGGGGGCAAGAAGTAAGCGAGCTGAATTGGGTTTAGGTAAATAGAAGTAGTTCACCTTATTGTTCTGTAAAATAAAAGCTGGAAAAGTTGCAAAAGAAAGAAAGCTAATGGAAGCCTAAAAAGGGCTTAAGGAATCATGCTGATATAGTGTGTGTGGTACCAAATAGCTGATATCATTTCATGTTGAATATTATAGGCAGTGCAAAAGAGTAATGGTTCTAATGTAAATAACTTGGAGCACTCATACAAGCTTTTAAAAGCATATAGAGAAGTATCAGGATAGAATCTGAATTTCTGAAAATACAAAAGGAGTTTAATTTGAAAAATTACTTTTTTTCCCCATACTGTTTTGAAAGTTCTTATCTGAGCAGCAAAATTTAAAAACACTAGCCTTAAAAAAATCTATGGTTGTATTATATTTTATGACTTTCAGTAAGTATTACGATTTTTAAAATATTTTTGAAAGTGCTTGCAGAGTGGAAAATGGTTGCATCTAGTTCTGCTGCAAGTGCTGAATTGCTCTGCAAGCTCCAGAAAATGTTCATTAAAAAAATACCTGATGTTTGAAGAGGAATTCTGTCATCATCATCTATCAAACTAATTTGCTATTAAGTAGACCAGACTCAAGGCTTTGGTTGTAATTGTAGTTAATGGGAACAAGGAATTTGTTGGTGTGCTTTGGTGACCCCCTGAAGGTGAGAGAGTGGAATTTTTGAACTCCACATACTGAACACAAGTTCTGAAGGTTTCTGTTAATGTCAGTAGTCACAGAGCCATAAAGAAGGAGTGCATGCTGCTGCTACTCAGAAGCATGAAGAAAGAAGTTGAACAAACATGACATTTGCATAAACTGATAGGATATCAGAAGATAAATGGCTAAAGACAGTTGTTTAGAACTTGCAGTGCTTCTTCAAATTACAGTGGTATTCCTTTTAATAGCATTAATTGAACATTCAGAAATTCAGTTGTGCTCTTTACTCTAATATTTGAATGTTTAAGCAGAGACTTATTACCATGCATGTAAGGAATGATTACAGTAAAATTACGTTACATTTAGAGTTTATACACTGTTGCTGTACTGTGTTTCTGCATGCTTTGTGCAGTACCATTCTTTAAAATACACCATTCTTCCTGCCTGAGCAAGTCCTGCTACTTGCTGAATGTTGTGATGTTCCATTTCCTTTTGGTCCTTGTTTATAGCATTTGAAGTGGCTAAAGGATACCTTAAACTTTATCCCCAGTGTGGTTACAGATTGCTCTGCAGGGGTTTCTAGGAAATATCTTTTGTCTTGGATTTGTCCATTTTTTTTATCTAAGACAACAGTTAAGATATTTCGTCTGAGCAGCAATTGTAAAGCTTTTTAATTTATTTTGCCTTTTTATTTTCCCCTATCCAGTTAAGGTATTTCTTGCTGTTGTAATGAAGCATGTGTCCTGTGTCTCAGGTTTTGCAATCACTGTAATTCCAGTTGAGCCTGGATCGTTGTGCTGACAGTTCTGACAAATGACAAACTCTAATGTTTTGTGTAATGAGATGAAGGAGAGCACAACAATGCAGGTGTTCAGAATTCTGTGACTGTAGTGTTGAGACCCTGTTCGATGTGTAAACTTGCTCTTTCAGTAACAGGTAGTTGTACTGGGCAGAGGAAACACTGAAGGACTTAATGGCAGATGCCAGAGTTACAGAAAAGTCCTTGCTAAATCTCGTTAATCTTATGAATATAGCAGGAGCTGTGTGCTAATACAGATATGGGGGAAGAGAGGGAGCTGCAGGCAGGAGAAGCTCCTAGTTTGGTATTTTTGACTTGGACTTTACTTGAGTGTTTGAACAAAAAGTGTTCCTTCTCTTTTTTTTTTTAATGGTAACATGAGCATGAAGTTTTAGTTCCTCTTTCTTTTCCA